GTGGCATTTTCTCCCTCCTGTGTCCGATTTAACACCAGTTCCAATGGGTGCTGGCCGGCTGAACCGGTGACTGATCCGTTGTGTGCAGCAGGAGTAGTCCCAGCAGCCCCAAAAACCATGACACATGGGCCCTGTCTTGCATGTGGCACCTGTTGACAAACAGACCTGAGTTCGAATCCTGATTCAATCAGAGATGAATGCAATAACTCTGAATCACCTGGTCCCGGACACTTGGATCAACAGCCGCTGAGTCGGGGTCCCCGTTAACCGCTTGTGGGGTATGGAGGGGGAAACAGCCGCTGAGTGGGTGTCTAGTGGAGGGGGAAAAAGTGAACTGCTACCACGTCCAAGCCTCTTTTTCCCGAGGCTGTGCCCAAAAAACAACGAACTGGCGTGGCATAATTTTTTGTTGTTGTTTTGGCTGGCACCGCCTCGGAAACAGTCCCGGTAGGCCGAGCCACCAAGGGCACTCCAAATTAACTGCTCGGCGCGAAAAATAGCTTGGAGGTGTAGGGGTGGTCTAAACCACGACTACTCCTGACCGACCAAGAAAAGTCCCAGTTGGTCACTGGTATGCCCCAGCCAGGCTTCGAAAACAGGACGAGTGCAGGTTTGGCCTGGGTGCAAATTGAGAACTTTCCCCGTTACCATTTCTTTTTGGTACCATTTCTCGTCTCCTGCTTTTCTGCAAACACTTAGCGGCTTGTCTTTGCCGTGTATTTCCACCCACGGGTTTTCCACATTTACACTCGTCCATTGCATTTCTCTTTTCCATGCAGCGTGCTACATGGCTTGAACTTTCATAAACTTACGCCACAATCATTTTGCTTTTGAATAAATCGGCCTTTTGCAACTTCCCCTCCCCGGGGGGGGGGGGGGGGCTTTCTCCTCCCCCAGTTCCTATAATTTGATGTTCACCGGTCTGCAAAAATTATATCTTTGTCAGTACCTTTAAACCTTACATATTGCCAACTTTTAAACCACTGCTGTATATCTTCCAGAAGTGTGCAAACTGTTATTGATCCTTCTGGAATCCATGCATCCTACACACACCTCCCTCCTCCCTCTCTTAATCATAAACCCCTTTCTCTACTCCTCTTTTGACTTGAACGAAGCTATCTTATTTACTGCTAGAGCTCTTTCCGGCAATATGTATGTGTGATAATGATAGAAGTACAGGTGGTGTTGTGATTGGTCATATATGTCTATGATAAGATACAGATAATGTTGTAATTGGTCATGCGACTCATGCCTTTTTGGTGTCTCGAGTCCAGATTCAGACCACCATCCTCGCTGTCTTGCGAAAAGGACCTTGTGCATGTTCATTCTGGTCCGTCCGTTCCTCAAGAAAGGGACCTCGTTTTCAGTATACAATGGATTCATCTTTCCATTCTCCATTGCTTTTCTCGAGTCCTCTTAGTATTCTGCTCCCTCCTATATCCTTCAGTATTCCTTCCTTGCGCTTTGAAGGCCTTTCACAGAAGTTTTGCCTGTCATGGAAAGTTTGTGTAGCTGGCTCTGTTATTTGTGTCACTCCTGTGTTAATGTGTGTGTCTGCATCGCTTTTATCCTATTCAGTCAGGCAGACTGGCCGTGGAAGGCTTCAGATGCCTTTTTGCCTGTTATGGTTACTTTGTGGGGTCGACGGCTCTGTGTTATCTGTGTCACTCCTGTGTGAATGTGTATGTCTGCATTGCTTTTATCCTATTCAGTCAGGCGGACTGGCCGCATAGTGCTTCGGATGCCTTTTTGCCTGTTATGGTAACTTTGTGTGGTCGATGGCTCTGTGTTACTTGTGTCACTTCTGTGTGAATGTGTATGTCTGCATCGCTTTTATCGTATTCAGTCATGCAGAATGGCCGCGGAACATCATATCTCCTCATAGGTACGTGCTCCCTAGGGAGAGCTACTACGGTAGGCACTTGTCCTGGACTTCAGCTGGGGCAAATGTTGAATCAACGGGAAAAATGATGTCCGGCTTTGGGTTATGCGCCCTTGCTGAATATACGGTAAAAATGAAAGTATTGGTAAATCATTTTATCCTTTACCAAGTTATCTCATGGTGTGGGTAGACCTTGTGGCCAAAACGTACAAACATGAATGTTGATGTGATTATGAGCTGACATCACGAGTTCGAATTCTGATGGATTCAGATAGATAAAGTCCACACCCTTCAGAAAAAAAATAGAAGGAAAAAATCCTGGTAGACTTGTCATGTGGCACCGCAAACACAGTGCTTTAGCAGTGGTGTTGAATACCAGGTCTCAACAAACACTAGTTTGCACAGAAGTCAGTTGCTGGTTGTAATGCTGCAGGGTGAATCATCATGTGTAAGCAAAAAGAAAGCGGATGATGTCCTGCTTGCTTCGTCTGCTAATGACAGCGAAAATTGACAAGGGAGGGAGAAAAATCGCAGCCAGGAAACCTGCTGCCTGCTTGTATCAACTGTCATGATGCGCTCTGATCGATCTGTGTGCAAGTCCTCTACACCATATTTTGAAGTTTTTCCGGTGCAGGCGATCCTTGTGTGCACCGAACTTCATTTTGTTTCAAGTCCGTGTCACATTTCTGGAGGCATGTGGTGTGAGCTTTTTGCTCATGAAGATTAGCATGGCCCCTGAGCAAGGATGACACGCATAAATCAAGAAATGGTTTCCTTAAAAAAAAAGAAGAAAAACTAATAATGCCATGTGTGTATCATTCAGCCTCATGGGCCAGGTACGCAGGAGTCTTTGCCTGAGAACAAAATTTTGCCTCGACTGAGCAGCACCGACCTGTAAGAAAGTGTTTGCCACACTGTCCCATTTGTTACTGGAACTGTGCACACCAGGGGCTAGAGAACCGCAAGCTGTTGATTTGTGCTACCCTTAAGGAGCCAGGAAATCCCCCAAAGAGTCAAAGAAGGGTCTTCTCAGTCCACGGCTTCTTTGGTGTCATGGTTTCTGGTTGTGGTGGCATCAGAGGGGCTGGGTTTGTCATGTGTGCGACATTGCAAACGCTTTATGGCAACGTAGCATATCAAATGATGACGAGGATTGATGAACGAGAGCATTGGGGTAAAGGAATGGGGACCACAGCTCATAAACAGCGGCCAGGGGAGGTGGTTTCATCCTGTGGCGGAGAGTGCTCAATGGCTCGATCTGTGAGGCGACTGGCTGTGGAATGATCAATGAGCATGCTTGCACTACACATGCAGCGATTTCTGGTTGCTGCTACAGATTCCCATGAATAAAAGAATGTGTGGTGACAGCACGAGGTTGGCAGTTCTGTTAGCCATAGAACTGACCTTGAGTGTGTGACGCACCAAGTAACTATGGTCTGCGGATGGAGCTATGCTTTTCCTGTGGAGATGGGTCATGTGATGTTGGAGATGGAGTCGGATCGTTATGTGCATCATGGATAGGGCATCAGCCTGCTGAATAGACAGTGATGAGGATGAAGAGGAAGAATATGGGAGAATGGAGGGGTGTAAGAACATGGCGGATGGTCTCATTGTTATGTGCATCATGGATGGGGCATCAGCCTGCTGAATGGACAGTGATGAGGATGAGGAGGAAGAATATGGGAGAATGGAGGGGTGTAAGAATGTGGACTGAGAACTGTTGCTGTGTTTTGTTGGTGTTCATGTTTTGCAGCAATCAGAAGGACTGGCTTAAAACATTCTCTGGCGATAAGGTTATACATGATTCATCCTACCACTCTGTCATCGAGCTAACTGGATTACAGGTATTTATTTTACTGAATATGTTACCTAGACCAGTTTTAAAGCTATGGATGGAAAAGAGGTCCCGATTTATGTTATCTCCACGTTTACATGTTGTCGTTTAATGTTATGATGATGCCCTTGCAACCTCCCTGATACGCCTGCCTCTCTGCAGCACAGTTGTAAATTTTAATACTTGGAGAAGAGAGCAAATTTGTCGTCCGTTTGTTAATCGCCAGTGCCTACGGTTACACCATGGTTCAAGGAGGCTGGTGCCGGAATTTGCCCAGTGGGCGAGGGTCTGTCTGATTTCCAGTTCAATCCAGAATTTTGCTCCGATGTCCAGTTTGATTTGATTGTCCTCCAGAGTTTTTTTTTCCCCTCTGATTTCCAATTGGATTTGATTCCTTCCAGAGGCCTAGCTGCAGGGACGGAGATGGCTGTGTGCTTTTGGTACAGTTCATTTTATTTAACTCGCAGAGTTTGAACCTTGAGTGACCGCCACTTCTTAGCATCTACGTGCTGAGTAAAGGAGCAAGCTGTATGCATCATCTGCGATGAATTGATGATTTGAATGCTCATTTTGACGTCACGGAAACGCAGCAGTGAAGTACATGTTCTTTCGTCGACGTGGATCTTAGTCAAAATGTGTCAAGGGTCGGGCAGGGCGTGTACCTAATCGGAAGTCGTCATGCAGCGGCCACACCTGTTACTCCAGGCAAGGCAGTTTTGACTGCTGAGGGCAGTCCAGTGGACCTCTCTTTTTTGCTTCTCCAGTTTCTTTGCTCACTTTCACACCGCTGCCTCTTTTGTTTCGTCCTCTTCTTCCACATTTTCTTTTTGTCTTCGTGTTTCCGCTCATGTTCAGGGGAGTGACATTCTGGCTCTTCTTAGTCCCCAAGCAAGCCAGGAACACGCTCAACTGAAGACAGTCGTGGTTCGCCCTCTCATTCCTGGGAGGAGGGAGAGCCTTGTCCTTGTCATCCGCTCACCTTAATCTCTTCTTCCTTGATGTCATCTCTGTCCTGCACTTCCTACCCTACCCTAACTGAACTGCTCTCCTTTCGGAGATGAAAGCGGAAAGGCTATGTCTAGATATATATTCCTAAGTGGTTGAAAACCCCACCCCCTCCGTCCTTGGACAATTAATAGCCAAGGTACTGCAGCTACTCCATTATTGTTTTTTGCATTTCATCATCTATTCTTCGGCCTATTGTTTTGCTGAAAGGCTATGTTTAGATATATGTTCCTAAGTGTCAATCAGTTACGTGGACGCACTTTTTGATCCATCCGTGCAACAGTGTTTCTGATTATGACACTAAAGACGCTGTGCATCATCCGTTTGAAATGGTGATCTCTTAGGAGTGCTTGCGAAGCCATGTGAGTGAAAGTGGTTTACGTGCAGTGTTGATAGGTTTGGTATGTCTCCCAGAAGAAAGGTTACGGAAGCTTTAAAAAGGATTCTGCAATGTCCTGGAAGTTGGAAGTGAGTGAATTCGTCCTTTTCACGGAAAACCTAAACCTTCCATCCCGTGAACCGGTTTCCAGATTCAGAAAGCGTCTGAAGGTGCTTTCGTCCTCCTGTCATGGCGTGTCTTCTTCCCTACGGCCTGCAGGGAATCAAAGGTGACGTTGTTTTAACCATCAGTTCCCGCTCAGGTGGCCCCAAACTCAGTCCTTGCCAGATGATGGGTGTATTTTTCGGGTGGGTTGGGAGGTCGGTCAGCCATGACAATGGATCCGACAAGAGTAGCAGGCCTACACTCCTCCCTTTCGTGGTCCCCATAGAGAGTGCTCTTTCTTTTCTATCTGTGGATGGCTTTTTTGGGGGTTGGAAGTGCGAGGGGCGAGGTGGGAGAATGCGTGTGCATGGGCGACAGAGCATCTAGCAGAACAGCTTTCAAAAATGCTGTCTTAGGGGTGTTACTGAAGATGTAAAGGAAGTTCCTTCGTGCCTCGACCTAAGGCAGAAGTGGGGGAGGTGGGGGAACGTCTGTACGTGGGGGGGGTGGGCGCCGGTGGGAAGGTGCTGTCTGGAGTCCATCCAGCAGAACAGGTTCGAAAGCCAGTCCTGGTGGTTATTGATGATCTAAGGGAAGTGCCTCCTTGATGCCTCGACCACATTTTGTACCTCTTTGGACATGCTGGGGGGCAATCAAATGTGGCTATCAAGGTGGAATCACTTTTGAGTATTTGTTGTCATCGAAAGCAAGCGCAGGTTGGAACGTTAAGCCTTTTTTTTGAAACAAAAAGGTGTAGGGTAATGGAAGATTTATGTTCGTATGTCCGCACAGCCTGCGTTCTCATTGGTGACCATGCGATTCGTGGCTTGTTTTTCCTGCCTGTTTGCAATGTTATTGTGATGGGTTGCAGTCTTCCATTCTGGAGGTGTTGGAACAAATCTGCGATCCAGAGCTGCCGCCATGTCAACCAGTGTCTCGCCAATCATCTGTATCGTCACAAAGTGCTGCGGTGGACGACCCTGCAAGACAGGCTCGGATCTACATGATGGGTGGACTAGAGGGAGACATGATGGTTGGTATCGTTCTCTTGACTTTTGATGCCTGTGCTGTTCTTGCTGATGCAGTTGGCCACAATTCCTAAAGACAAACCTGTGGGTTTCTGAAGCTCAAACTATACGTGTAATGGTCTCCTTCAGAGTCGTTTGTGCAAAACTCTAATTGTGTCCGTTACTCTTTTTGCTTGACATACAAAAGAGGAAAAAAACATACACTGTGCCGTGTTAGCTTTTTACCTGGGAGGCACAGTGAAAGGAGAGCTGAAAGAAGAAGTAAAACGGTGAAAAAAGTAAAGGAAAGAATCAACTGCACAGAAAAGTCACAAAGAAGGGTTTCAGCGTGCCTCTTGCTGTCTGCTCTTTTCTTCATTTGTTTCGCAAGGTGTGGTTTGTTCTTTGATAGATATGTGTGAATGTAGTGTGCTGGCCTCTATTACTCTCTATTCTACTTGATGCATCACAGTCTCTTTGCAGGAGGTGATCTGTGCTGCAGTCTTTTTGCAGGAGTTGTTAGCATGTTTTCTGAGCTGTCCATTCAAACATGCCAGCTTCTTGGTGTCATCTTGAGGTGGTGGCTGATCCAGTTTCGCAAACTCACGGAGCAAGCAAGCTAGCAAGCCAGTGACTGAGGGAGTAAGAGGGCAGGCGAGCTGGCAGGAAACCGGCAGGCGAATGGCAGGCAAGAGTGAGACAAGCAGACGGCAGAGGGCGGGCATGAGAAGGCAAGCAAAAGGCAGAGGGGAAGGCAAGGCCAGGCAAGAGGAAGGCAAGGGTAAGGCAAGGGGAGGGCAAAGGGTAGGCAAATGGAAAGTGCAAACAAGGGGAAGGCAGAGGGCAGAGGGTGGGCATGGGAAGGCAAGCGCAGGCAAGGGGGAAGGCAAGGGAAGGCAAAGCGAGGGCAGAGGGCAGGCAAAGCGAGGGCAGAGGGCAGGCAAAGTGAGGGAAGAGGAGGGCAGGCAAAGTGAGGGAAGAGGGCAGGCAAAGGGCAGGCAAGAGTGAGGCAAGCGGAAGGCAGAGGGGCAGTCAAGGACAGGCAAGGGGAAGGCAAGGGTGGACAAAGGGAGGGCAGAGGGCAGGCAAAGGCCAGGCCAGGGAAAGGGGAGACAAGGGGAAGGCAAGCAAGCTGAAAACAAGGGGAGGCAAAGGCAGGCAAAGGGAGGTGAAGGCCAGGCAAGGCAAGGCAAGGTGAAGGGAATGTGAACTGCGCCTGCAGCACACTGCCTTGTCCCACCCTCTGCCCAGCTTAGTCCCGCCTACCCCCCGGGTCCTGCAACCCCGCCAGCCTCCCCCAGCCCCTCCCCCCCCGCCCTTGCCATCCGACCGAACCTCTCGCGGCCCAGCCCAGGTCAGCCTACTCAAGCAAGCATGCTAACGACTGGGGAACTGCGAGAGTGGTCCCGTAGCAGAGGAATTGTCTCCTTTGAACAAATCAGTTTGCTGAACCTTGCTCAGTATTTTTTCCACTTTGTTGAGTCTTATACTGAATGTCGGGAATTTTGGGGCTGGTGGTTGTCGTACTTTCTTAGATTCACAGTCGGGGTGCTTATCCTTGGAGAGCCATTGCACCTGCAAGATTCACTTGGCGGCCTCTGAAAAGCGAAGATGGCAATAATGTGGAGCAAGGGGGAAGATCTCACAGTCACTTACCAGAGAGGAAGTTCTGGATGTGGGTTCATGCTGCTGGATTCAACGAGGCTTTTGAGACAGTTTATGAAACATGTCTCGCACAGGTATGTCGCATTTAGACACATCATGAAATGGTCATCCTGGCGAGTTGCAGTCAAGTCTTGCAAAAACACTTGCAACATATCTCTGCTTGGATGGTTACTTGATTGGCATTGCATGTGCTACCTGCCTACCTGCTTGTGTGAATTGAGAACGAGTAACAATTGAATGATTGGCAGTAGGTACAATCACAGGCCCCTGCTGATGCAAAGTATTCCACCATTATCTGACCACAAAAAGTATACAGAAGAGGTAGTAATTGTCAGGATGGTATGACTTGTTACTGCATTTGCAAGCATGTTGCAGAGTAGCTGCATAGCTAAAGGGCCAATGAGTGCTCCTCTTTTTTTTTTATTTTACGCATATGGTCTCCCAGAGTGATAGTGGACAAGTTGACTGTGTCCAACTGCTAGTATGCCCACCCTATCTGCTTCTTGTGTTTTTTTTTTGTTTTTTTTTTGTGTGTAGGTGTTTGTCTCTGTGTGTCCATGTATGTGTGTGTTTGTCTGTGTGCATGTGTGTGTGTGTGTGTGTGTGTGTGTGTGTGTGTGTGTGTGTGTGTGTGTGTGTGTGTGTGTGTGTGTGCGCGTGTGAACCTTCGTAAACCGCTGCCGGCGCTGACGGAATCCACAAGTAACGCCAGGTACCATGCCAGCCACGAAAGGTGGGGGGGGGGTTTATGCGGCATTGTGCCAAATCTTAAGTGTGCTGACGTTGGCAAATTTTCGTGCTCAGAACTCTTGGCAAAAGATTCTGGAATTATCAGGGGTGTAGATTCAGTGCTGATCTTTTTGGGAAAAATAATTGAGTAATCTAAAAGACGTTGAGAATGGCAATAAAATCTCTCTGGCGGCATATTTTTGTGTTCCTCGTGATACAGGTAACCCCGAAACTTTTTTGGTTGTAAACTGGTACAACTTTCCAGGCCCCTGGGCTACGTGTTGTTGCTGGAATGCCTGGCCAGGCCAGATCCTGGGCAAGGTACGGGCCCTGTCACGGGCAGCCCTGGCCCCCCAAAAAAAAGAACCTTAAAAAAAATCACAAAATTCTGAAAAGAAAACAATTTTGTGTAGAATTGCAGTAAAACAACCTTGCCTGAGGGTCACCTCAGGATTCCTTGTTGAATCATAGTTAAATAGCGAGGGGGGGGGGGAACTAAGGCACCCCCTTTGAAACCTCTCCAAGCCCCACTAGATCCCATTCATACTCTTCCCCCCTCCCCGTCCAGCTGCAACACTGAAACAGCAAAGCACCTGAATTTGGTCTGCTGCTGGCGGGCACAAAAATGGCCCACTGACGGAAAAAGAGGACAAAGAAGAAAAATTATGCGGCTTCTTACATATCCAGGTTGACTCTGTTGGGAGACGTCCAGGGCTAGTTGCTCGATTGCCCGGCTGGGTGCTGCGAATAACCTAGGTTCTAAATCCGTAAGTCATAGAACAACTGAATAAGAAAATCCCAGAGGAAAAGGTAGTAACGCCGACAGTCGGCACCCCTGAATTGGCTGGCTGCCGACCAGTCAACCATTCCACCTGTTGGCACCTACAAGTCGGCGGTCGGTCGCCACCCTGCAAAACTTTTTTTTTTTGTCGGGTTCAT